TGGCATATCTAGGTTGACTCGAAGTAAGTAAGAAAGAAGTAACAAAAATATCATCCCAACCTTAACAATTCTAGTTGTGCCAACCAGTTGTCTAGGTGCATGCAACTATACCGATAAGAATTTGGTCGAGCTAGACATATGCTGGGTGAAGCAGCAGCACAGCAGTGCAGACACAGAAACTCCCCTCAGCAGTACATGCTGTGTACCCAACAAAGGAAGTGAGGACAAGACAATCATCCTTTATTAAAAATTAACAAAGAAAAAAAAACGACCCACAGCAATTCCAACATCATCTAGAGAATCAGCATCATTAACAACTCCATATTAACCATATGAACAATTCATTTAACGAAACGACAACTTTATTGAAGAAAAAAACCCCAGCACTTTAAGTAAAGATTTCACTTCATTACAGGAAAAATTTTAAGTTAGGAAAAAAGGCGTTTATCAAAGTAGAAGTCAAACAGTGTAGGGACATAGAAAAAGCACAACAAACAGAATCAGTAACAGTATAAAACATTGTGGAGAATTTCGGAGTTTGGTTTTTATTTTACAAAACAATTCCACAGCAGTGAAAAATTTAGTGTTGTCACATTACCGCGAGGCACACGGTTTTAAGAAAATATACCATTTCTGTGCTTTCTGTCCTACATGGTCAGTATTTGCTCCGGTTGTAAACATCAGTATTTAAGACAAATGTGTGTTTAAACATCATCCTCCTCCTCAGTTTTGAGAGTCTACAATAGCAACAATGATCTTACTTTCATTAACATGATTAAGTACCAGAACCAAGAAGAACTGTTCTCAGAAACTCAGAGGCTCTTCCAATCGCTCAGCACACAGCAAAAGGGGATGACCTTCAAGAGCCCGCGCTGCTCCACACAGCAGTTCCCAGAACACGAGTTTCAGACTGCACATAAGCAACAGTGCCACGAGCCTCCACACGCACTGCACGCCAGCGGCAATCGACCCGCAAGCTGTGATCGATTCCGGCCTGACATCCCGCACCCAGCTGGAAGCCAGGCTACAGCAGAGCCTCCACCCTCCCCCAAACTTGCATAGTAATCATTCACACATAGAGCCTCATGCATTTTCTTTTTAAAAACATGATCTCTCAAAAGAATTTCAACTCGGTGCAGAAATTTCTTCCTTGTTTTTTTTGTAACAGCTTATGAACAATCTTATTACTGTAAATACGAAACAGCATGCAATTGTTCACATCATCACTGTAGAAACATCGCCGATAGTACCAGTATTCACAACGGACTTCACCAAATAAAACAGAGCAAAACTTCGAAGTAATGAAAAAAAATCTCACATTGTAGCGTATAGAATCTCAGTGCTTTGGGAACAGATGAGTACCGCCCCCTCCCCCCATTTCCATTTCTACCACATCAGTTGATCCCAGGATATGCCCATTTCATGCTAGAACTGTAATGCTAAGGCTGCTCGGTTAAGGTTATGTCATCCGTACTGCAGAAAGTAAAAAAGTGGACAGGCAAAGTTGACCAACAGTGAGGCTGGGCAAAAGCACTTTCTGGTAGAACACCAAATCCTACCGTGATGGGCATCCAGCACCATACAAGTTTCTTTAGGAAAGTCGGCCTTAAGTGCTGCAGGCAACTGAGCAAGGACTTTGGAAAGGAAGGAGCTTTGTGATTTAAAACACAAACATCTCTTTTTGCAGTAGAGCACACACAACAAACATTGCTGCCTTGAAGGACATTAAGATAGAAAGCTAGAAAGGGCTTCAGAAATGCCCACCATGCTTCCTGCCAACCAAAGCTGATGATACCAAAACCTAACACAAAGTAGTTTTAATGACACAAGAAATGGTATAATGGTATAATCTAATTCAGATTGAAATTGGTCAAGAGGGAACACTCGTACACTAGTTTACTCCCCAATTATGTAAAATCATATAAAATACAAGTATTTTAACAAAATTGAAAAATCTTTTGATGATAAACTTGGCAATAGCCTGAACACAACTAATTATAAATTAATAGGAATCTGAAGAGTTTTATTCTATAGAGAAGAGTTATTTTAAATCAAAACTGCTTGTAAATGAAGTGACAAACTCTGAGTATGTTTCACATATTGGCAAGAATATGGTTAAGAGTCTCTCCTACTGCCTGACCTTCACAGGAACAGAATACAACACCAAAGGGCAGCATAAACCCTAGGGGCACTCTGGTGATCCTTATGTCTTTGCCACCTCCCCTTGGGTTCCCTTTCCTTAAGGGCATAATTGCTTAGCCTCATGTGCTATGCAGTCAAATTAAGATTTGTTCTTCTCTCTTACTAAATAAAAGGCTGTGGAGTTGCAATTACAGCTTTAAAGAGGATAGGAGGATGGGAAAAGAAAAAAAAAAAAAAATCCATTTAAGTTGACCGCTATGTGTTGGTAGTTTCCTAAATTTCTTAATTCTAAGTGGCTGTGCTCACAGTCAGCTACAAGGTTCCAGTTAGCTAGTATGCAAGTTGAAAAACTAACATTCAGCATACCCAAATCCGGTGTTCTTCCAGAGGAACTGCTGGAGAGTTACGGTACCACAATCCTGCACAAACTAGTCAAGGATTAAGCAAAAAGCTTTTGTTCTTCCTAGTCTGAAGTATTCAAAAAGACCCCCAGAAGTCAAATTCCATTATGTTGACTGCTGATGAGCCTGCAATGATGATCTAACAAAACTTTCCTGGGGAGGGAAAGGAGCAATAAGGTATGCTATACTTGCAGCGTTTTGCAGAAATGCCCAGAGCTGTTAAAACTAAAGAAGTACTGGAATGTAAAAGGCATTAGGGTTGCATTTCAGTTGCCCTTATACAATGGAATTCTCTAAACATTATCAAAGTCCTAATAAAAGACTAACACGGGTCTTTTGACAGATGTAAATTATGTTTTGAACTTACTCCCTGATAAAAAAAAAAAAGACAAACATCAGTTTAGATACTTGTCTTAGATCAGTCAGGGAAAAGAAGTGTCAATATTCTTTCATTCCCAGTCTCTCTTTGGTGTTTAATTCTTCCTTTCAAGAAAAGTAATAGTCAACCTAGTTATTTCAACACTAACTTCCAAAACCTGGGGGGGGGAAAAAAGCACCAGGACACAGCACTTGAACATCATCCTGTCTAATTGATTCATCCCAACATCAGTGCTATGTTTTCAAGGTGGCATTTTCCATTCAAATGCCTTTGTAACAGTAACTCTAGCCAGCTGGAACCCACAGAAAGCCTGATAAAATTTCCCTTTCATACCATCCTCAAAAAGGAATCTTTTTTTTTTTTTTTTCCTTTCATACCATCCCCAAAAAGGAATTTTTTTTTTTTTTTTTTTTAGAGGATCCTAACGGCATGGTGGTACTGTGCTTTATAAATAATCAGAAGGACACTTAAGTTTAAGATTTTGAATTAACTCAGTTTCTCTTAACTTTCTGGAAGCCATAGAATTATGTGGCTTCACTGTGGGCTTATACTTTATTGCCAAGTAGATCTAGGCTTTTCCTACATTAAAATCTTTGTGGTACATGTCAGGGATACACTTGCCATGCAAATACAATGCTGTTAAATGACTAAACTCTTGGTAGATGGGGCCAGCGAGGCTTCAGTTCACACTGAAGTCCACCAGATAATCATCTTCATAGACACTGACTCCAGCAAGACAGTTTGGTAAGAGGAAAGGTGAAAGCACTTAAACAGTATCCCACACAGCAGAAGCGGGAATCTGTGCTCAGATATTAAACTGACCACTGTAATGGTTTGGCAGTAAATGATTATACATAGCTCAAAAGATAAAGAGAAAGTAGAACGGCCTTGGAGTTTGGATAGTGACTGCTCAGCATTTGTTTGGAGCTGGCAGCTAGACTGCTACACACTTTCTTTGCTAAGACAGGCAATGGAAAATTGTACTTTCTCCTCAAAGCAGTTGCTCTCTAGTGTATGCAAGAGCTTTTGGAGAAAGGAAACTGACCCCACTTATTAAAAAAAAAAAAAAAGGCATTTTAATTTATTTACAAGTTCTGAAAAAAAAGGTCTTCTCCCCAGCCCAGACTGCTTAAACAACAGCCCACTTCCACCTTATCAACAGAGCTTGTCCTTTGAGAAAAGACATACATGAATTCTCTCTTTGCTTACCTATCATGCCCTCAGCTTTGCACTGCTCCTGTGCTACAGCTGGGGGAGAAGAGAAGCACCTTGCTTCACGTGAAATATTTCATTTTCCTACCTTGTATGTATTGCCATTAGCTGTAGGCAAGGCAAAGAACTTAGGTTCCTGGCAGCTGAAATATTCTATTAACCTTATTTTGCAAGTGCTTCTCATACAGGAACAAGTTTTTACAGATGAAAACATTCCTCTCATGTATTTTAAGAAAACATCAGTCCAAACTGAAAATTAAATACGTCACTGAAGATGCAAACATTTCATACTTACTCCAAAAAATCTTTTCATCTAGAATTAAATCTTTAAGAAGTCTCATAAACCTAAAATTTTGCAAGAGAGGCAGGAAAAGAAAGAATACCAATATTCCATTATCCGAGGCAAACAGTACAAAGATTCAGTGACACAAGGCTATTAAAAAAAACCCGCACAAGTTCTCAGTGAGAAGTTGGCAACTGATTTCTTTTTCTTGAAAAAGAAATCCTCTAGACTGGCATGGTCCCATCAGAGTCGAGGTCTCCATTTTACAGACTTCATGCATTACTCTCTTAATTTTGCAAAACCAAACCAATACATGATTTTACTTCAGAATCATCATAACAAATTCCGGATCTCTGCCCAGTTCTTCTGCCAGACTGAACTTCATTTAATCACAGCACCTTGTCCTACAGACACCATTGCTTACAAAACGAAGCAATTGCATACACTGGATTTAACACAGGGAGCCTCTAACAACAAGCTGAAAGGCACATTTTTAAGACAGAAGTAGGAAAATACATACGCAGTGATCTTAACACAGTTCTACTAAACTTCCTAGAAGTTCGTGAAGCATCCAGTATTCCTGTTAGGACAGACAGACCGAAACACATTTCTTCACAGCATCCCTATAGGCAGGAGAAAGAATAAACACAACAAAAAAACCAGAGAGTCACCTCAGTTATGCTGCTTGATGAGACTCATTCCATGGTGCTACCACACTGACACTGAGGACTTTAAAGATCAGCTGACCACGTATTAATTGTGCTTACACAATTTGCACGACTACACACATGCATTAGAGACAAGCGGCCCTGCTCACCATCCACCTGCCCAGCTTCAGTGGAAATGACACCTGTGAGCCCACATCAAGGCAGTGCACTGAAGAAGCCCGGGGCTGATGGAGCCAGGCAGCCAACTGCATGCTTGAACACAGAATAGCACTCACAGGGGAGAACAGGAAAAAAAGGTACACAGAAGAACACACTTGTCTAGTAGCATTTTGGGCCAACATTTAGGCATTCCAAAGGCAAGCCTGAAGTTCAGCGTGTGGTCAGCACACTCATATATTTTCTGAGGAAGCCCTCTCATTTTGTTACATTTGTGTTCTCCCACTAGAGAAGATGCTTAATTTCATTTTCAGGTTTAACTGCTTGTATTTCCTCCCCCTAAAACACCTGCCTGGAAAAACTTCTAAAGCCATACATTTCAATGCTTCTATAAACTAAGCTTCTGTATCATTAAACTTCAGGATGACAAGAGGTAAGGGAGTGGGCAAGCTTACCTTGCAAATGGTATGAAGGAAATGCTGTACCTAAGAAGAAAGATTTTTAAAATTACTCTTCATGTCAAACTTTTATCAGAGTCACAAACAGGAAGAACCCCTCTGATGCTGTAAGCAGGTAACTGCAAGATACACAGCCAAAATGAAGCTTTGGATTGTAAGCAACAGGAAGGAGTGCCCTTGCAAGTCATCCTAGCCCCACCAGGTTGTGAAACACTATGGCAAAATCAGGGGGCATACTGCAACAGCATTTTAAATGCAGTTCTGCTGCACCCAATATTCCTCATGCCCAACACCTACAGGCAGGTAAGATTAGTCTTGAGGGCTGGCTAGATATTCGTATCTGTTTCTGTACTATTCTGTGACATTACACAGAGCATATGTTAACTTAAAGAACACTGACAATTTGATTGGCACATCTGGGTCTTTTAACAAGACAAATTCAGGGAAGTGTAAAAGAAGAGTATCAGACAGTAAGCAACAAACTGATTTAAAAGGGAAAGAAAAAAAAACAGTTTTACTTCAAGCTCACAGAAATTAAACACATTCAAAGGAACTTCCCCAAAATATGGAGCCCTGAGCTCCATCTCCAAAGCCTCTGAACTGGTGCGAGCAATCACAAAGCAGGAACAAGTCAGCTCCTCACTGATGCACTGTCTTGCATCTAGGGGAACAGTGAAGCAGAAACTCTCCTTCCCTCTGACTCACACAAGGTCAAAATCCACTCACAACTCAGCTACCGATGTTAGGTGCAATAGCAAACGGAGTGTGTGGGGAGGAAATCACTTACCATGCCAAGGCAAAAAACTGTAAGATGCAGAAAAGGAGCACGAGTCCTTCCTTACGCCACTGAAGGAGGTGAAAAGGGGGGAGGGGGAGAAGAAACCGCAGACAATAAGACAACAGTGTAAGAACCCTTTTTTTTTTAAAATATACTCTGTTTATATATACATATAGAACTCAAGTACTCACCCAGAAAGCAGAACACAGCGTTAGTACCAGACACAACTAAAAGAAAACAATTTCTATTAAACACAGAAACAACTCCAGTTTTTAGATCTTGTAACACCGTAACAGGTTCCTTCACAGAGACAGAGTGCATAAGAGTTCCCCTTATTTAAAATGCTCTTGCTATTACATTTCTGAAGTGAATTAAAGCAATGAGGAAGTGTCAGCCTGACAGCTCCAGAAAATAATTTTACGGCTGCAAAGGAACACGAGGATCCCCCCTGCCACTCTTTTGCAACATCAGCAGGTCCCTACTCCACCCCACACACTTCTTGGTGTCGCAGGTATACACCACACTTCATTGTTTTGCGTAAGACTTTTCAGTTACAACTGCAGTCTTCCTTCTTCTCTAGATGCCACATTTCCTGTTGATTCTCAAGGTTACCATGGGGCTGAAGTTACATCACTACTTAATTCTCACCAATTAAGACTACAATATACTTTCAGGAACTTCCAGCTACTGCCTGGTAGCTTTCCTGCTCAATACAAAGTCCAGCACAGCCACTCAAACTGGCATTTTTAATTTTTTTCCAGTTGCACTGTCTCTTTACTACAGTTAAAATCTTGGGGGGTAGTAGGCCATTTTGGATTATTTTCCTCTTTTAATCCACAGTTTTAACAGTAGCCTCCTTTTAGTTCAAGTTTTCATTGTCAATTTAAGACATGACAGCTCATTTTAGCTATGACAGATGCTGATACTTGAACTTCCCTCATAAACATCTAACAGCTTTTTGATGCACATGTACCATTGTGCTACTAGAGATTATAATGTGCATTTTTCTGCTTGAATAAAAAAGGAGATTTAGTACTGCATATTCAAGAGAGCAACACATGCATTGCAAAGGAAATTGATTTGTGTATCGGTCTAAATACTGCACCATACATCTAACAACTGGCTTTATTCCAGTGAAGGACATTCCAGGCATTCTCCTGGCTCCAGGCATCCTAAGCGCATACAAAACATCCACACTACAGAGTAGGCTTCTTGCCTGCTGCCGGTCTGGGAGCACAGAGAGTCCATTTCTCAAGCTCTACCAGCGCCAGCAGCCTCTCTAGGTGTTCAGAGAGAAAATAGGAAGCGCTGATGCCAAGCAAACGCTCTGAAGACATTCACACTGACAACGGGAGGACAGTTTCATGCAAGTTAAACCACCTTCCAGATTTTAGACTCTCCAATGGGAAAGCTGAAGAGGCAAAAAAAATAAAAGCACATGCACTTTAAACAAGCAAGAGTCTGAAACTTAGCAGCAATTTTCACACCCCCTACCCCAGTAAAAGGTTGGTCACTATTCTGATATTCTGAAGATAAAAACAATTCCAAGGGCTGACTTCAGCTGAACATTGAATTTGCAATTTCATTGTGTCATATGAGTTTCAAAAGCTACCAGCCAGCTGGGATGATTTCTGTATTTTTAATGCAAGATGACGAAGGCATAGAGATTCCCCAGTTGCTTTGTTAGGAAGTAAAAATTTTATCAAGGTAGAAATACCTACACAGCTCTTTAAAGCCAATCAGATAGAATATAAAAAGACAAAATTATGCAAAATAGATTGTCTAACAACTTCCATAGTAAAACTTTTTAAAAACTAGTTTCCCACCTTTCATCTCTCAAGCAACATGAAAATCTGATGTTGTGACCTCAAGCATCCTAAAAAAGCGTGTGCATGGTTCACACGCGCCAGCCGCAGACCCTTCATGCTCCTTTAGCACAACAACTTGGCTTCAGCTCAGCCTGTCATAATAGGAAGGTGGTTTGCTGGTGCTACACATACTGTTCCACTATCGCAGATGTGCAGGATGTTTGATGTTTTAAGCAGAAAAAAAAAAAACCCAAACCAAAAAAACACCCATAAACACATCTTAAGACATAGTTAGATCAATGTACATAAAACAACTTTACAATTGAAATTGTTCACAGGTTAGCAGGAGTTAAAACTGATTTCTTTGATACTTACTAGCATAACAACAGTAGCAATCAAACGTGTAGGCTCAAACATCCTTTTCAATTGTTTCATTGGTCCCATAAGAAAAAGAGTGCTATGAAAAATAAACCACAAAGAACACAGAGGTAGAAAGGAAAAAGTGAAACTAGGTAAGATTCCTCACTAAGTGGGGTTATTTTTTTAAATTGTCTGCTGTCATATGGGGCATCAGTACACTGTCGTTCTGGTAATCAG